TGCTTCACTGTCCCAGAGACTGGCTTCACCTAAGATGATTTATTTTTCCCCAGAGGACTTTACCAAACATCAGCCCGTATCAAGGCTCAGCTGACTCTTTACTGCCCTCTCACAGTTTTGTAAGGTTCCCTTCCTCTTCTCTCTCAGCTTAGTATGTCACCAAATAAAAAGGCTGAGTGTCATTTACAGTGAGAAGATTTGCAAAAACCCTAACTTCAGTTAATTCCAGCACTGAGCCCTTGGTGGGCAACCCAGTAGTTTGGGCTTCTCTACCCAGAAGGGCCTAAGTAGACCCCTGGTTTGTTTCTTATTTTCAAGACAGTTGAAATAGACAAAATACAACATTTCTCAAATATATGATGACTCAGAGCTCTTTCTAAAAAGTCCATGGTGCTGAACCATACAATAACGATAACAGCAGCAGCAACAACGACCTTATTGAGGGCTCACCATGTGCTGCGTCCATCTTTGGGTTTCCTCATGTGTGAAACAACAGCTACCTTATGATAGGTCAAGTGTTTAGCACACAGTAGGTATGCAAAAACTGTTAGTTTCCTTACATCATGATCAACCCTAGGGCTCGCAGGGGTGCCAGAGTCACAGAACAAATTCTACTCTAAAAGTTTGTCCCTTCAGAATGCCACAGACTCTAATGGAATTTGCTGACAGGAAAAAAAATACTTCTTCCTAAAAGTAGCACTGTCCCTGAGCAACTTGCATTGACTAGGGAGTAAATCTATCAGTATCCTCCTAGAAAAAACAACAGCATCAGTCACAATAGCCAAAAGGTAGAAACAACCCAAACATCCATTGACAGATGAACGGATAAACAAAATGTGGTATAACATACAATGGAATATTATTCAGCCTTAAAAAAGAATGAAGTTCTGATACATCCTCTGATGTGGATGAACCTTGAGCACACTGAGCTAAATGAAGTAAGCCAAACACCAAAGGACAAATATCAGGTCACTCCATTTATAGGAGTTACCTAGAGTAGCCAAATTCTACTGTAGCAGACAGTAGAATGCAGGTTACCAGGAGCTAGGGGAAGGCAAATCAGGAGTTACTGTTTAATGGGTACATATTTTCCGTTTGGGATGATGAAAACGTTCTGAAAAAAGATAGTGGTGATGATTACACAACATGGTGAATGTACTTGATGCCATGAACTGTATGCCTAGAAATGGTCAAAATGGTAAATATTACGGTATATATATTTTACCACAATTTCAGAAAGTAGCCAAGATGTCCCATCTGTCCACAGTCGCCTTGTGCTCTGCTTCCTGGGGTCTGAGACTCACGAAACCATCCCCTTCTCCTGGCTCTGACCCCAGCCTGGCTTGGATCATTCCCATTATAAACACGTCTACCTCCTTAGGGGCTGTGCCGAGCCATCCTACAGGCAACTCACCGGGCCGGAGACTCAAGGCAATCTCCTGCGGCGTCATCTGAATGACATCTGAGCCCACGGAGCTGGAGCCCTTGCTGCTGAGAGGTAGGCTCCGCAGGACACGGGTGCTGCTGGCTGGACTCTCAATCTCGCCTCCGCAGCCATTTCTGACAAGGTTTGCCCTCAAGTCACACCGGGAGGTGACTGACCGTGGGCTGCCGAAGTCCTAGGCAAGGAAACAGAGGAACAGAGCAGGAAGCAGTCAGGGTGGCCCCCCAGAATATCTCAGGTGATAGATTCATTGCCATGTGGTTCACTTCAAGCTCTCTACATTCCATTTTCATTGTCTGAAACTGGAGAAAATGATAATCCCTATCCCAAATGCCTCACTGAGTATTGCAAGGACTAATTGAGGTCCTAGATGTGAAAGCATTTTGCAAACTGTAACGCATAATTAAAATGTTTGGTTTCATGTTATTTTTGATGGTCAAAATGCTTCTACCTGCCTACACAATTAGCAAGGGAAAGAAATCAAAGAGGTCAAAAGTTGTATAGCTAAATTTTTTTTAAAAGATGGTAAGTGGGTGAGAAGTCCTCATTTAGGCAGCCAAGAATTAACTGTTGAGCTCTTCATGCCCCAACTTTTGCAGGGATTGGACACTGCACGACCATCTGGCAGTATACGTCCACCCAGCAATCTGCTCCTAAAAGTTTATCACAAAAAGATAATTGAAAGAAAGGGGAAATGTTATAAGAAGATACATACTGCAGTATTATTTATAATATCGTAATCTTACAAACTTGTAAGCCTAAATCCCTAAACCATAAGAAAATTATGGTATATCACTTCAATAGATGGTATAATCATTATAAATAATTACAAAGATTAAGCAGAAATTTCAAAACATTTATACTATGAAAAAAATAGAATTGTATCTGTGTTAGGATTTGAAAAAAATAATGAAGTGTTATACTAGAAGGACTAAAATATTTTTGTTTTTATCTTTATAGTTGTTTGCATGATAAAGACACATTGATAAGAAAAATCTTTATTTCTTTAAATTGGACTTGGGAGAAAGCTGGACAGCAGAATGACCCAACTTAATCTGGGGCACCAGGAGTTTGAAGCATTAATTTTTTAATGAAATAATATACTTTGCTATAAAATATGAAGTCTGTAAGTATNCCCATAGCTGCACCTGCCTCAGGACAGAGCCGCACAGAGCACCCACATCATGGTTTGTATAAACACAGGATCATGTTTTCCATTTTATTTCCATTACTGGAAACTGTATTCCTAATGCTTAGCAGGAGATGTGACTACACCAAATAAGATTGATTTCTTTTTCTTTAACTGAGCATACAGGGAGTATTATGCATAAAAGCATACTGTGCATAAATTTGCCACAGCTTGAATCACTTTAACTCCTCTATGGGGGCTGTTTTAAAAGCCAGTTGATAAGTCAAACTAAACAACAGTCTCTCTGATCATAGTCACACTTTAATTTTGATGTTAAAAACTGGAATTATTAAAATAGTGACATCTTTGATTTTGTGTGACATCCAACTCTTTCCTAATCTACATCTACCCTAAGGAATGAAGATTTGCCACCATGAAGGATATTTCTTCAAGAGAACACCACACTGTCTGAGAGCTATTCTAGATGAGGAGTTCTGAAAATACAAGTTAAAAACCTCCTCAATAATGACTTTGAAACTATAAACTCTTCGACAGGTGTGAATTTCAGTCCTTGTTTTCAAAGATTATTCAGTGAAAACAGTAAACAAATATAAAGACATTATTGAGAGCTATTCTAGATGAGGAGTTCTGAAAATACAAGTTAAAAACCTCCTCAATAATGACTCTGAAACTATAAACTCTTCGACAGGTGTGAATTTCAGTCCTTGTTTTCAAAGATTATTCAGTGAAAACAGTAAACAAATATAAAGACATTATAAGTATATAAAATGCAAATACATGGGAATAAAGACAGAGGATATAGTAAAAATGAAAATATTGTGTTAAAGTGGATGATTTTTGAAGGATTTCCTTTAAGTTACTGTTATACCGTTATTACAATAAAAAGGAAGATACAGCATTAACATTAGTTGATAACCATTCTTATGAAACTCCAGAATGTTTCAATATCTCAATAGTCCACAACAATTCCTACATCCCCTTCTAGGTCAAAATGCTTCACTGTCCCAGAGACTGGCTTCACCTAAGATGATTTATTTTTCCCCAGAGGACTTTACCAAACATCAGCCCGTATCAAGGCTCAGCTGACTCTTTACTGCCCTCTCACAGTTTTGTAAGGTTCCCTTCCTCTTCTCTCTCAGCTTAGTATGTCACCAAATAAAAAGGCTGAGTGTCATTTACAGTGAGAAGATTTGCAAAAACCCTAACTTCAGTTAATTCCAGCACTGAGCCCTTGGTGGGCAACCCAGTAGTTTGGGCTTCTCTACCCAGAAGGGCCTAAGTAGACCCCTGGTTTGTTTCTTATTTTCAAGACAGTTGAAATAGACAAAATACAACATTTCTCAAATATATGATGACTCAGAGCTCTTTCTAAAAAGTCCATGGTGCTGAACCATACAATAACGATAACAGCAGCAGCAACAACGACCTTATTGAGGGCTCACCATGTGCTGCGTCCATCTTTGGGTTTCCTCATGTGTGAAACAACAGCTACCTTATGATAGGTCAAGTGTTTAGCACACAGTAGGTATGCAAAAACTGTTAGTTTCCTTACATCATGATCAACCCTAGGGCTCGCAGGGGTGCCAGAGTCACAGAACAAATTCTACTCTAAAAGTTTGTCCCTTCAGAATGCCACAGACTCTAATGGAATTTGCTGACAGGAAAAAAAATACTTCTTCCTAAAAGTAGCACTGTCCCTGAGCAACTTGCATTGACTAGGGAGTAAATCTATCAGTATCCTCCTAGAAAAAACAACAGCATCAGTCACAATAGCCAAAAGGTAGAAACAACCCAAACATCCATTGACAGATGAACGGATAAACAAAATGTGGTATAACATACAATGGAATATTATTCAGCCTTAAAAAAGAATGAAGTTCTGATACATCCTCTGATGTGGATGAACCTTGAGCACACTGAGCTAAATGAAGTAAGCCAAACACCAAAGGACAAATATCAGGTCACTCCATTTATAGGAGTTACCTAGAGTAGCCAAATTCTACTGTAGCAGACAGTAGAATGCAGGTTACCAGGAGCTAGGGGAAGGCAAATCAGGAGTTACTGTTTAATGGGTACATATTTTCCGTTTGGGATGATGAAAACGTTCTGAAAAAAGATAGTGGTGATGATTACACAACATGGTGAATGTACTTGATGCCATGAACTGTATGCCTAGAAATGGTCAAAATGGTAAATATTACGGTATATATATTTTACCACAATTTCAGAAAGTAGCCAAGATGTCCCATCTGTCCACAGTCGCCTTGTGCTCTGCTTCCTGGGGTCTGAGACTCACGAAACCATCCCCTTCTCCTGGCTCTGACCCCAGCCTGGCTTGGATCATTCCCATTATAAACACGTCTACCTCCTTAGGGGCTGTGCCGAGCCATCCTACAGGCAACTCACCGGGCCGGAGACTCAAGGCAATCTCCTGCGGCGTCATCTGAATGACATCTGAGCCCACGGAGCTGGAGCCCTTGCTGCTGAGAGGTAGGCTCCGCAGGACACGGGTGCTGCTGGCTGGACTCTCAATCTCGCCTCCGCAGCCATTTCTGACAAGGTTTGCCCTCAAGTCACACCGGGAGGTGACTGACCGTGGGCTGCCGAAGTCCTAGGCAAGGAAACAGAGGAACAGAGCAGGAAGCAGTCAGGGTGGCCCCCCAGAATATCTCAGGTGATAGATTCATTGCCATGTGGTTCACTTCAAGCTCTCTACATTCCATTTTCATTGTCTGAAACTGGAGAAAATGATAATCCCTATCCCAAATGCCTCACTGAGTATTGCAAGGACTAATTGAGGTCCTAGATGTGAAAGCATTTTGCAAACTGTAACGCATAATTAAAATGTTTGGTTTCATGTTATTTTTGATGGTCAAAATGCTTCTACCTGCCTACACAATTAGCAAGGGAAAGAAATCAAAGAGGTCAAAAGTTGTATAGCTAAATTTTTTTTAAAAGATGGTAAGTGGGTGAGAAGTCCTCATTTAGGCAGCCAAGAATTAACTGTTGAGCTCTTCATGCCCCAACTTTTGCAGGGATTGGACACTGCACGACCATCTGGCAGTATACGTCCACCCAGCAATCTGCTCCTAAAAGTTTATCACAAAAAGATAATTGAAAGAAAGGGGAAATGTTATAAGAAGATACATACTGCAGTATTATTTATAATATCGTAATCTTACAAACTTGTAAGCCTAAATCCCTAAACCATAAGAAAATTATGGTATATCACTTCAATAGATGGTATAATCATTATAAATAATTACAAAGATTAAGCAGAAATTTCAAAACATTTATACTATGAAAAAAATAGAATTGTATCTGTGTTAGGATTTGAAAAAAATAATGAAGTGTTATACTAGAAGGACTAAAATATTTTTGTTTTTATCTTTATAGTTGTTTGCATGATAAAGACACATTGATAAGAAAAATCTTTATTTCTTTAAATTGGACTTGGGAGAAAGCTGGACAGCAGAATGACCCAACTTAATCTGGGGCACCAGGAGTTAAAAATCTTTATTTCTTTAAATTGGACTTGGGAGAAAGCTGGACAGCAGAATGACCCAACTTTATCTGAAGCATTAATTTTTTAATGAAATAATATACTTTGCTATAAAATATGAAGTCTGTAAGTATTGATCATTTCCAGCAAAGTGATGTCTGATGGCAAAGCAAGCCCAGGCTTCTCTCTGAACACCCTTACACTGACAGATGTGGAAAATCAGATCACCTCATCCAGCTGGCTGGATGCCAGTCTGTACTGGACTGCATAGTCCTCATAACGGCTGCAGGAGTTAGCACACTGATCTCTTCCTCTCCCTCTGTAACACTTTGCAAGAACGCCTCAGATGAGTCAGTGTCCCTTGACTGCTGTTACAAGCCAGACTGCTAGCAGAGGTACGAAAAGCAAAGGGACTCACCGTTCACCAAGGTCTCAGATGTCCCAGGACTAGTCAATGTCCTTTAGAATCTTTGCAAAATTCAAGACCAAAAAGTCAAGAAGACTTTGTGGTATCTTTAAATAAGTAAAACCAGATGTATCATCCCTAGGCCTACATGGAAGTTTTTTATGTGTTTTCTGGGTTTTTTAGATAACTGAATGATTTTTTTTTATTTCGTGCATTGAAACCCTGGGGATCTTGCCTGTCAACAACCTTGGGGACCACACTGTAAGTATAAGTGGCTCCACAAACACCTGTGAAACAAGGTTAGAAAAATGATTATTCTGAGCCTAGATTTCAAAGCTAGGGTTTCCAAACCGGATTCCAGGTGGTCAAGCTTGGCTCTGATGTAGCAGTCCTAATGAAGCAGCGAGAAAAGCATAGGGATGGGGGACAGGAGTATTAACTACCCAAGGGCCCTGTTAAGTATTGGTCTGCTGTCTTGAGCTGTCTGAAACAGAGGGCCAATTACCTGTCCAGAGCTTGAGGGGATCAGGGGCTCGCCTGCCCAGAGTTTACTCAGCTAGAGAATTTCTCAATTTCTTATTGGCACACTGAACCTTGCTGCTCAGCTTCTCCACTTCTGAGGAGCTGGTTGTACTTGGCCCAGTTCTGATTGTCAGGGTACACCTGTCTTTTTTTTTTTTTTTTTCCTTCTCCTTTTAGTCTTTTTTACCGACTGGTAACGGGATCGCAACCCTCGGTGTTGCGCCCGTACCGGGGACCGGCAACGGGATCGCAACCCTCGGTATTGCGCCCGCACCGTGCTCAGCCAGTGAGCGGGAACCGGTCTCCACATGGGATCCGAACCCTTGGCGGGAGCACCGCTGCGCTCCCAAGCAGCGCACTCTCCAGTGCGCCACTGGGCCGGCTCAGGGTGCACCTGTCTTGATCAATCCAGTGCAGAGCCCCCACAAGGTTGGCAATGAAAGTATCCTCAGTCTCCCCTGAGCAATGGGAACCCCTGACACCCCTCCCACTGGTCTAGGCCAACTTACATACCAGAACAGACAGGTCACAGAGCCAATCTGCTTCACTTCAGCAGGAGGCAGTTGCATCACTCCTCTTCCACAGCCTCGGCAGCTCACTTTGGGTTGGTCACTGAGATCATCCCCTAGTACCAGGAAACCTGCACTGGCGAACTTCACCCGAGCTTCCCAGCCATCCTGCTTGAAGGTTTTTTTTTTTTCCCCTTTTTGTCTTTTTTCGTGACCGGTAACGGGATCGCAACCCTCAGTGTCGCGCCCATACCGTGACCGGCAATGGGATCGCAACCCTCGGTGTTGCGCCCGCACCGCGCTCAACCAGTGAGCGGATCGGTCTCTATATGGGATCCGAACCCTCGGTGGGAGCACTGCCGCTCTCCCAAGTGCCACACTCTACCGAGTGCGCCACCGGGCCGGCCCGAAGGGGTTTTGATAGACACTACCAGTCCTTGACTTACACAGGGCCATACCTGCTGGGATCGTCAGGAGACTTAAAGTCTAGATCATCATTCCCAGACCTGAAGAACTCTGAAGTAGCCAGGTCCATGCCAATTACAACCTTAGTACTGTAGCTGGCTTCTCCAATTGTGTTCTTTAGTAACTCTAGGGCTTCTTTATTTTCTAGAACGTTAGGAGCAAAGCCCTCTTCATGCCCCTCATTGGTAGCAGCTTTCCCACATTTCTCCTTAATAACATTCTTCAGGTTGTAATAAACCTCAGCTTCAATGCACATGACTTCCCTGAAGTTTGCTGCACCAACACCAAAGACCATGGACTCCTGTGCTGTCACCTGGCTGCCAGTGTGAGAACCACCACTGATCACCTTAAAGCTGCAACTTGCAGGGTAACTTCAGAAGTGCCAACTAAGTACAGGGGAGTCCCCTTCTCAGCAGCTCCAGTTTTACAAACAGGAAGGGACACCCTAGTATGGCGCACATGGACCAAATTTAGATTTATTCTCATTGCCATCCATCTCTATCATGTCAAAGTTCAGTCTCTTGCTGCTCAGGGCAGGTCCAATGGTTTTATTGATGTGCTCGATGGCTTCTGAGCACACAATACATCTTTACCTATATAAAGAATCTTGTCATTGTCCCAGAGCTCCAGGGCCTCAGAGCCACCTGTTGAGGAATTACTGGGCATTGCAGGTCTGAAGAACCTTTTGAGAGTAAGGCAGCTATCTCGACAGTGGGATTCCTCTAACATTTGAAGAGCTCTCTGGCATGGAGTCTGAAAATAGCCATGACTAATTTCTAGCCATAGGTTCTTGTTGTCCAAGAAAGGGACAGAGAGTGCTGCAGACCCCAACAGCGAGGGTTGACCCACAAGCCCAGAAGCTTCTCCTCTATTCCCCTGAGCAACTTTCTAGATATTTTAATTTTGAACAAGGACGGATACATATTTAAGGAGAGGAAACCAAAACCACAGAGACTAGGAGCACATCTTGTGATGGTTATGACCTTCCAGGCACACATTACAAATCAAGAAAATGTCTTAATACCTGTATTTCTAAGATCCAGATTCTATGAATACAGGTGCCTCGAATTACAAACCCTTGGAGAAAAGGAAGACTCATGATTAAGAAAATCCTCCTCGCATGTATGGCATTCTGACATCTGATGTTCTTAGAGCTTCAGATCCCTAAGGCCTGACACCCGGATCCTCTGCCAGGTGTCAGAATATAGCAAGTCCAAGGGAAGGGGCCATGGACGAATCACCTGGTGCGAGCCCCTCACTTCTACAGGCAGGAATGAAAGGTCTGCATGCCTAAATTCACCCAAGAAGCTTGAGTTTGTCTGGCCCTGGCTTCCTAGACCCACATTTGGTGCTCTTTGCAGCATCTCCTCCCAACTCAGCCAAGGCCACTGCTGAATTCTACAGCAGGAAATTAACTCTGGGCCCACAGATTCCATCCCTCTGAATGTAGTACTTTTTTGCTGCCCCAAATGCAGAGATCTTCTCACCACTCATAAAACTTGAGGGATAAATATCCTCTTAATGCACAGAAACAGTATGGAAGGGCCCCAACCTCTCTGTAAGCAGGGGTCGGGGGAGGACTTCATCTCAACACGGAGAAATGGGAACTAGCTTCAGGATGGGCTTCTAATGGGCCACAGCATGACTCCTTGCAGGTGCTCCCAGTTTCATCTGGAAGAGGTTTTAGTGCCTGAAGAAGTGTCTATTCATGGAGGACTCGTAAAGGGTAACTACATTACAAGCAAGTTAGTTACCAAGAGAAGCAACAGAAAGGAAACAGGGACTTTGTACTAGTTCATTTCTGTTGCATATGACAAAGTACATGAAACTGGGTGATTTGTAATAAAATTTATTTCTTACATTTTCTGAGGCTAGAAAGTCCAAAGTCCAGGGAGCACATCTCAGGTGAGAGCCTTGATGGTGGCAATAGTGATGGCGGAGTATCACACTACGAAATGGTGGAGAGAGAGCAAAGACTAACCTCCTCATTCACTCTCTTTTTAAAGCCCTCAGAACGCACCCCTGACCACCATTATTAACCCATTCACTAGGGCATGGTCCTACAATCTAATTACCTCTTCAAGGCTCCATCTTTCAATTGCGATAATAAGATTTCCCATCCTCAGCAGTTACAGTGGGAATTAAGCTTCAAATATATGAACTTTGGGGCAGCACAATTCAATCAGTCCACAGCATTCCACCCTGGC